ACAGTAAGAGCATCTCTGTGCACAAAAAACACTGCTTGCACCCCACTTCGTTTTTCAGCTTTTAAAGAAACAAGGCTCTTTGTCACCAGGGAGGAGACTCTGAGCACAGAGTGGTGGCACCTCGCTGCTCACAGGCAGGAGGGGTGTTTGGGAGGTGCGTGGGGCTGAGTGTCCCCATGCACAGGCACCTGAATGACCCAAACCCACCAGTTTTCCCTTCACCAAAGCTGCCGGCAGCCACTGCATTGTTCACCTGTGTTTTCAAGCAGGCACTGGATACCTGCATCCCATCCATGCCACATACCTTCCATCGTGCCTGCAGTATTTGCTGCCAACAAAAGGCACTTTTATCCTTCATTTCACTGAGCTGCACTGAGGATCCTGAAGACTCTTTCTGTTAAGCCCCAACCATCTCCTCCATCCTTCTCTATTGCCAAAACCCTTCATGATGGCAGGAAGGGAATGGCGCTCCCATCCCCTCTAGGGGCTGGGGCTCTGCTTTGGCCCCTCAGGTTACAATGAAACCTGCAGCAGTTGCCTCAGCTCAGGGGCAGATCTTGTTTACAAATGTTTCCTTTGATTTTATATTATTATTGTTATTAATTTCATTAAGACAACAGAGTGTGGCTGAAAATTAAAAGGAAAACTAAATTGAGCGTCCCTGAGCTTGCCGTGTTTCTGAGCCCAGCTGGGGATGAGGGTCCCAGCGCTGAGGATTCCCTGTTGAGTCCCACTCCTGCTGGAGATGGGTCCAACCTTGGGGCCAGTTTGTGCAAAGCCAAATCTGCAAAAGAGAGTGGCAGCAACAGCCACAGCTCCAGCCACGCCGTAGAGCTGCCTGTGCCTTCCCGGGCTCAGCTGCCTCCCCGTGGTCACTGCTGCTGGGAAATGCTTTTCCTCTGACGGGTTTCAATCTTGTCACTCAGTAATTCCTTGTGTGACAAGACAGAAAACACCCCCCAGACCCCTCTCTCCAGCCCATTTGTTTCTTTGCACACCCTCCCTCCTGCTCCCACTCACTCGCCACCTTCCAAGGCAATCATGGTGCTGCAATTGCTCTTCAGGAATATTTTTTTTTTTCTTTTCCCCAGGTGCTTAATCACCCTTATTACCCTCTTCTGATTAATTAATTCTAATTAATTTTGCACTATCATTTTTGAGAAGAGGTGACCAGGATGGCACATGTTGTTGCAGGTGATTTGCAAGGCAGGTCCTGCAGTGCTGGCACAGCCCTTCCCTCCGTGCCGTTTAACCCGGGTCCAGGTGGGCACCTCCTGCCTGTTTGCTGCCATTACTGGCAGTTCATAGAGCACTGAAGCTCCCAAGGCCATGGGAAGAGCCCTCAGGTACTTTCCTGGGAACCACATGGGATGTTCCCATCTCCTCTGCTCTGCCTTGGCAGCAGGGTTCAACCTGCTCCCATGTCCGAGTTTGCCCAGCTCCTTCAGCCATCTCTGCTGTGCCATGGCAAAGGCTTGGGAAGTCAGAATAAATTAGGTCAGGGCTTCTCCATGCTCTGCCAAGAGCCACCAAGGCACTCAGAGACACCACAGAGACACTGGTCCCTTTGTCACCTCTCATGTTCCAGCACTGCTGCCAGTCCTTCTCCAGGTACCAGCAGGAGCCTCACCTGTGTTACCCAGGGGCCTTTGTAGCCAAAAGCTGACATGGTGTGGGTGATTCTGCCCTTAAACACAGATGTCTTGGGAGCAGAGGTCATTGTCCCTTTGCTGTTTGCTCCAAAAGCAGCCCCTGTTCTGCACCTCATCCTTCATCCACCATCATCTCTTCATCCAGCGAAGAGAGGGGACCTGGGCTGAGAGGCTGCAGCCCCACTCTTGCCCTTGTCAGGGCTTCCCATGTCCCTGGCACCAGCCACTGGTCACTGTCCCCAAACAGTCTGGAGCTGTTCAGGCACTTCTGCTGGCCAGGTGAGCACCCAGCACGGCTCAGGGCTGGGACTGTCCATCCCACCTCACTCCCTCAGCTGCTGGCTCTTGTCAGGAGGCTGCAGCAGCACCACCAACACTGCTGACCCCAGCAGCAGCCCAAAATAGAAAAAATATATTTATTATATGTAGTATAATGGATGTGGTGGACTATAAACTGCAGCTAGTAGATAATGGGTAAAATGAATATATATATAAATACTATGTAAATAAATACTATATATATATATATAAATACAATGTGTGCATAATGTGAATATAACTGTGTACATATGTGTGTATATATACATATATAGTGTAAATGGACCATTTATTCCTACATATATTATATATACAGCATACTATATACATATATATATATTTGTATACCATATACTATATACTATATATATTTGTATACCAGATAGACAGCTAGATATAGGTACATGCATATATATAGGTACATGCATATAAATAGGTACAGAGATATAGATATAGATATAGATATAGATATAGATATAGATATAGATACATACATACATAATATAAAAACCATTTTTATATGTTTGTATGGTGTACATGTTTTGGTGAGGGGGAAGAGGGAGAGAGAGGGAGTATGTATGTGTGTGTGCACATGTGTAGATCCCACTCAAGCTCTCCTGCCTCCCTGGCCAATGCAGGGCAGTGAAGAGGAAGAGGAGGGAGAAACAGAGCAAAGGTACAGCAGGGAGGATAAGAGAGAAAATGCAAACTGCTCCAAGTTACAAATGCTCCCCTCTTTGATTAATTGTACTTTCTGTTTGATAAATGTTACTCATGAGTATAAAATATGCAAAGCACTTAGCAAGTTCACACTGTTTAAAGAACTCAACTAACTAAATTAAAATTCGATGATAGAACAGAGCCGCTGAAGAGCAGCGTGGCAGCGCTGTTTGGGGAGCCAGCCCTGGGCCACAGCCACGCAATCCTGCCTGTGCATCCCTCCCTGGAAAACCCAGCCACAGCATCATCCAGCCCAAGGGGAGGTGGCTGAAGCAGTGGGTGGGGATTTCTTGTGTGGTCCCCAGTGCCCAGTTGGGTCCCTGTGGGGTGGTGAGAGGCTGTGAGGGACCACTCCAGAGCATCCTCACCCCTAACCCTGGTGTGGGGCTGTTTGCTGGCTTGGATGAAGCAGGGCTAAATTGCCTTAATTTCTAAGCTCTAACCATTGCATCCAATAAACCTTCTCCAGTGACCCAGTGGTTCCAGTCTACCACCCAAACCCCACACCAGAGGTTTTCTGTCACTGTTGAGCCCCACAATCCCACCTTGTGCCCCCCCCGCTCAAACCACCACATCACCCTGGTGAGTGACACCTCCGTGCACACTCCCAGTGCTGTATCCTTCCAGCCCACTGAAGAAAAACAACTCAGCCCCTCTTGGCTTTCCCAAAATGGCAGCTGAGCCCCCTCAGGACACAGGGAGACCTCAGCATGGGAAGGCTGAGCAATCCAGTTCCCCTATGGGAGTCCTGCCAGCTCCTATCTCTGCCCCAGCTCAGGGGCTGGGGGATGCAGCGAGCACTCTGGGGAGGATGAGGTGTGCCCTGGGAGGATGCAGCAGGAGGATGCAGAGGAAGGATGCAGTGTGGACACCGAGCAGTGCCCCTGGCTCCCAGTGCATGGCACGTGCCCAGCTTGCACTGACCACACTCCTCAGCCTCCAGCTCTCTGCCATCCCACCGTCCCAGGTGAGCAGGGCTTGCTGGAGGCGGCTGGGCTTCGAAAGCAGCAGCAGCAGCTGTGTCAGGCAGGTAGCAGCTCCCTCCTGCCTGCAGTTGAGAGGAGAAAGAAGGAGGAAAACCTGGCCTGGATCTGGCCTGACTGAACTCTTCCCTCTCTGATTCAAGAACCCCATTGGAGAGGTTTAAGTTGCTGGACAACCCACAGGACCCCAAGCCACCATCACTCTCCCACAGCACCTCACTGGAAATGTGAAAACATCCTAAAAACAGCCTTAACAGTGATGGAGCTTCAAGTTCTTAATTTCTGTAATGCCAGCAAAACCAGACAAAATGCTGGTGCTGATGGGAAAAACTCTTCAAGTTTTACTGCCATGGGGTATTTCTTCACCTTCTCATTCTCCTGAGCCTCCTGCCAACTCTCCAGGCAAGCCCAGCTCTCAGGGCAAGAAGATGTGGGCAGGGAATGAGCAGGACAGAGGGATTTGACCAGGGGAAAGAGAATGTTTTTCTCCAAAGACTGAAGTCCTCACTAGGTAAAAGAATCCTTCTGCAAGGCACGACCCTGCACCTCCAACCGGCAGAGACTAAAATAATCCACACTTTGCAAAACTTTCTGGGAGATTTGGGCAGGCAGGGATGAGCTGGTGTGGCACCACAAGGCGCTGCTGCGGAGCCGGCCCCGAGCCCAGCTCCGAGCCCAGCCCCGAGCCTAGCCCCGAGCCCAGTCCCGAGCCCAGCCCCGAGCCCAGCCCCGAGCCCAGCCCCGAGCCCAGTCCCGAGCCCAGCTCCGAGCCCAGTCCCGAGCCCA